TAAAGGCCCCAAACATTAGTCATTTCCTGGAGATCCACTCTCCGAACGCAGGGCCGCAGGCCCACAGTGGGGCGCCTGGCAGCCAGGGCAGGGAGAACGGACAGCATGGCCATGGCCTCCAGGAGACACCCCAGGGGCCTTGGTCAGAGTCCTGGGCCCGCCCTCGGGGCTCCGGGGTAGAGAACTCGGGGGGCACCCCCCAGAGGAGCGAGGGAGGGCCCAGTGGGGGGCAGGCCCCCGTGTGCTGGCCTGGCCCCCCTGAGAGGGGAGCTGAGGGGCGCCGTGCCTGAGCCGCCGCTGCCCTGCAGACATCAACGAGTGTCGGCGCTACTCGGGGCGCCTGTGCAGCCACAAGTGCGAGAACACGCTGGGCTCCTTCCACTGCAGCTGCTCCGCGGGCTTCCGGCTGGCGCCCGACGGCCGCTCCTGCGAAGGTGAGGCCGGGGCCCGGGGCGGCTGACGGTCCGTCTGAGACGGCTGTGCGCTGGGGCAGCGCCTGTGTGCAGCCCAGGGGCGGGCGTGCTCTGAGCTGCCCGGGCCTCTTCCAGACGTGAACGAGTGCAGCAGCAGCCCCTGCAGCCAGGAGTGCGCCAACGTGTACGGCTCCTTCCAGTGCTACTGCCGCCGCGGCTTCCAGCTCAGCGACGCCGACGGGGCCACCTGCGAGGGTGAGGCTGCGGAGCGCGTCCGGGCGGCCCCTCTGCCCGCCCTGAGGGGGGGAGTGGGGAGAAGCTGAGCCACTCGCCACGGTTGTCCTTAGTAAACACGTGACGGTGGTGATCACCCTGTGTGCCGGGACCTCTCGGGGCCCCCACAGCCCTGACGGTTGAGGCCCCCTCACCGGCTTGGGCCCTCCCCCTCAGCATGGGGTGCATCCCACACTCCCCAGCAGTCCGAGGATGAACCCGTGACGTGTCAGAAGCGCTTCCTGTAGCGCCTGGCACGGCGAGGGCGTGAGCCGTCCCGGGAGGGTCGCCATCGGCACCTCCACAGTGACGGGCACCAGGGCCCTGCCCGCTGCAGGCTCCTGACCGGTGCCCGGGCTCCTGCCCCGGGTCCTTCTGACGCCCTGCCTGTCCGTCCGCCCGGCCCCCGTCCCGCCTCCGTCCCCATTGGAGCTCGCTGTGTGGCCCCAGGCTAGTTCCTTCCTCTCTGGGCCTGTCTCCCCTCCCGAGGCGATGCTGTCCGAGCCACCCCAGCCCGGCACTAGGTGGGCTCCTGTGTCCCGCTGGCCGGCCCCGGGCCCAGGGCGCTGAGCGGGGCTTTGCCTTTGCAGACATCGACGAGTGCGCTCTGCCCACGGGCGGCCACATCTGCTCCTACCGCTGCATCAACTTCCCCGGCAGCTTCCAGTGCAGCTGCCCGCCCACGGGGTACCGGCTAGCCCCCAACGGGCGCAACTGCCAGGGTGAGCGAGCTGGGCTCCGCGGGCGTGGGCACGCTTGGGGCCGGGTGTCGGGCTGACGGGCCACCCCTCCAGCGGGGTGCATTCAGGAAGGGGAGGGGAGGCTTCTACAGGTGCCCTGGTCCCCCACACCTGCCCCACCCCCAGCACCGTGTCCACAGAGGGTGCTGAGCACTCCGCCCTGCCCTCGGCGCCCCAGGCGGGCCAGGGGCTGGCGGCCTGTAGGCGGAGGCCCGCCGGGAGGAGGGGGGAGTCCTCGCCAGGACTCTGTCCCTCAGCAGTGCCGTTGGTGGCGCCCACGCTCACTCGTTCGGCAAACCCTCGCCGAGGGCCAGACCTTGCTAGGCGTTCAGGGCAAACGGTGCGCAGAGGGTGGAGCTGAGTGCGCGCCCTGCCCCGGCCGGGGAGGGTGTGGTCTGGCTGTGTGGCAGCTCCAGGACGTTGGGCTGTGAGGGTCCATTGGGCTGGGGGGTGGCTCTGGCCTGGACTAATCGCGGGGACCCTGGGCTCCCACATGTGATGCGCTCCCAGGGTCAGCCTGCGGACTGTGCCCGTCCTTTCGGTAAGGGGTGCAGAGTAGCGGCCTGCAGGGGTCACCACCTCACCCCTGAGATCGGCCCCGAGGCTGAATCTAGAGGTCAGACCTGTCCCGCCCCTCCTCCTGAGCCCCCATGGGCTGGCGCCCCAGAGGCTCCGGTTCTGCAGATGCCATGTCTGCTGGTGAAGAAGGTGACTCTGACCCAGGCAGCAGCTGGGCCGGGCTGTCCGCCCGTTTCTGAGGCCCCATCGCAGCCCGGGCCCTGCCAGCTGCAGCGAGCACACTCCTGAGCCTCCCCCACTTTCTCCGCTGAGCCAGGCATTCGGCCCCGTGAGGGATGTCCCCGGGGCCCGCCATCTGGCTGCTCCAGAGAGTGGTGGGGAGGGGGAGGGCTCCCCATGACCTGCCCAGACATCGCGGACCCTGGGCACTGGGCACATCGCAGTAGAATCGCACCGGGCCTCGGTTTCCTCACCTGTCCCACGGGGCTCGCAGCCACTGCTGTGTCCTCGCGGGGGTTCTGAGTCAGGGGAGGTGAGGATGAGGAGCCTCGGGAGCTGCGGAGAGGCCGGGGGTCAGAGCATGGACCTGGCGCCAGCCTGTCCGCTCCAAAGCTCGACTCCACCACTGACAAGATGTTTGACCTTAGGCCAGCCCTCCGCCTTCCCCCTCAATGAGCGGAGCAGTCCTTGCCTCAGTGAACTGTGGGAGAATTAAGAGATCTCGTTGGAGCATTTCCAGGCCCTCAGTGTTAGCTATGATCACTGTTATGCTCATTCCGGGGTTGTGAATGATCAGTAAACGCTGTGAATTAAACGTGCTGTAAATAAAAGAGCCGGCACAGGGCGCTGCTCCGGAGAGCGGTCAGCAGGGGGCAGGGATGTCCCGAACCCCACCCCGACCCCTCTGGAGAGCGGTCAGCAGGGGGCAGGGATGTCCCGGACCCCACCCCGACCCCGGCCGGGGAGGCCCCAGCGCCCCTGTCGGAGGGTGGGGACTGCTCGGGCGGCCTTGCCTTCACTGTGCTGCCTGGGTCTCTCGCAGACATTGACGAGTGTGTGACCGGCATCCACAACTGCTCCATCAACGAGACCTGCTTCAACATCCAGGGCAGCTTCCGCTGCCTGGCCTTCGAGTGCCCGGAGAACTACCGCCGCTCCGCGGACACGTAAGTCCCTCGGCCATCGTTGTCTGTCTGCGCCGGCCTTCCTGGGGGCCGCCTCCCAGCCTGGGCAGGCGGTGGGTGAGCTGTGCCCCCCCATGGGCTCCTGGGAAACTCAGGACCCCAGGTTCTCCCGGACACGGGTCACGGAGACCGAGGTCTCCCGGGAGCTGAGGTCAGGGGCCTGCTCTCCAGCAGCCTGAGTGTGGAGCCAGGCAGGACCAGCCCCCTGGTTTCCCAGTGGGAAACTTGGCCTGGGGACGGCTCTCTGGGCCTCAGTTTCCTCATCTGTAAGACACAAACGTCAGAAGGCTCTGAGTCAGAGGAGGTGGCGTGCCGCCGGGTGGGCCCACGTGACAGGTGGGGGTGGCGTTATTAGGAGAATCTGTCCGAAAGGCGGACTGTGTCCGGCCCAGGGACTGTGGGAATCGCGTGGAAGATTCCGTGGCCGCATGTCACTGTCAGCTCGCGCGTCCCAGGCCCCCGGGCGCCGGCGGGATGTCAGGGATCCCCCTTCCTCGGGAGTGAGGCCGGGGACTCCCCGCACACCCTCCCCCTGGTTTCGTTGCGTCTCGGTCAGCACTGGTCCGTGGTTTGGGGAGAAGCTCCCGGTGGGAGACAGTCTCAGGATTGTGCAGACGTGAGCCATCCTCCCGCCGCTGGGCACGGCTCCAGCCGGCACCCAGGCAGGCTGGCTGTGCTCGGGGCCCCTTCACCTTGAGCCCGCCTCCCGCTGCAGGATCACTGCCTTCTTAGATGGTGCTCCAGGCCCTGCATCCGCTCGCTCGGCCCCGGGGCCCTGGCTCCTGGCGCTGGCCCTGCCGCCAGCGTGTTGAAATCCTGAGCAGGTTCCAGCCAGACCCAGACAGCCAGTCCCTGGCAGCCGCGTCCTCCCCAAGTCTGCTCTGTGCCCGGCGTGTTTTGTCTGCTTTCTTCCCGGGCTGGCGAGTGTGCGGCCTTCCCAAGAGGCTGTGGTTACGCGATGGCCAGCGGGCGGCGGGGGCCTCCCCCCCAGTCAGGAAGCCCGTGTCCTTAATGGAGGCTGGGCCGCCCTTGGTCATGTAAGTCCCCTCTTCCTCAGCTCGGTCTGCCTCTGCTGTTTGCCGCCGGCCCTAGCTCACAGCCAGGAAAGCGAGAGGCAGGAGGCTGCCCCATGCGGGTCTCCCGCCTCCTGGCCGCGGCTGGGCGGGTGGGCAAGGCGTGCCGACCTCCCCCCAGCTGCTGTGTGCTCCCCACGCCCTCGCCACCCTGGGTGCAAGAGGAACTTCCTTACTTGCTCGGCCTACTGTGTGCAGGCACCTGGACTGGGAGGTCCCCAGCCCCTGCCCACTAGCAGCACAGCAAAACCAGCGCTGGCCGGAGTTCAGGAATGCTGAGGCCACGGAGGGCCCATGGCTGGGGTGATGTCAGGGGGCACTTGGCTTAGGCAATGCTTAAATGAAGCAGGAAGAACTGAGTCAGGCAGAGGGGGAGGAGAGGAGGGCACGGTCACTGTGGGGTGTGGACACCACTAAACAGAGAAGGAAGGAGCTCCCAGCAATGAACTGAGCGCTGATGCCTGAAGGCCTGGTCTGCCCCCACCTCATGGAGTCATCGCTTGTTCCTGGGCTGGTGGGGGGGGGGGTCATTCTTCATGAATGAGGGCAGGATGTGGCCCACCCGCTGTAAAGGCCAAAGGGCAGCAGGCACTCCCGGTGGCTGCTGTATAAATGCCCATTCCTGCTCACTGGTGCCACCCAGTGGCTCAGGTGGAGAATGGAGCTGAGACCTGAGCTGAGGAGGCCAGGCAAGGCCCCTGGCTTCTCCCCTCCTTGGATGCTGATACGCTTTATCGTCAGGCAGGCCCCTTGACCTTGACCCAAAGCAGGTCCCCTCGTGTCCTCCGTGTCCTCAGTGGTACAGGGAGTGGGGATGCCCCCTCCTGGGCTCCTGTAGGATGACCTGTGACTGTGGGGCAGAGCCCACTCCATACAGCTCGCCCCAGTTCACCTCTTGCGGGGTGTGGGTGGGCACCCCAAGACCTATTTCACTGCCAGTCTGTGGCTCTCCTGTTCCTCGGGGCAGGCTCTCGGCTGCATCTGTCATTTCTGCTGGGCGAGGCCTTGGGGACTAGTGGGCACCGGCAGGGACGAGCCCGGGGGCCTGCCTGGGCAGTGCTGGTCTTAGAGCGAGGTCTGAACCTGTCCCCATCCTGTCACCCGCCGCGGTCTCCTTCGGACCCAGCGTCGAGCAGAGGCTCTGCGGCCTCCCGCAGCCTCGCTCCGGGGTCAGGCCGGGAGGTCGCTGGGTCCCTCGGCCCTCAGACGGGAGGGCGGGGCGTGGCTCCTGCAGGGCCACCTGGTCACCGGGCGCCACTGCTGCTCCCGGAATCTGTCTGGTGACAGTTCCCTCCCGTTTGGGCCCCTCTTGAGGAGTCACTGACCTGCCTGGGGTCCAAGCCCAGGGCTGCCCGGTCGGTAGGGGACTTCCTCGGGGGCCACAGGAGCCCCGATCCTTAGTGGGCTCATAATGACAAGTAACTGGCAAGCGACGTTTCCTGTTTCACAGCCCAAATTCTTCCTCCACACCAATCCTCTTAAAGAACTGGCGCCATGACCTTGAGAACTCGGTTCTGTCCCCACCTCATGGATTCTTCGCTTGCTCGCTGGGCTGGAAAGTGGGGGGGATCATCATTCTTCATAAATGAGGGCAGGAGTGGGCCCACCCGCTGTAAAGGCCGAAGGGGCAGCGTTCAGCGAGAGGGGCTTGTTCAGGCCTGGCGGGCAAGGTCGGAGCTTCCCTGGCTCCCGCTGGGCCTCCTGCGCAGTGTCCCTGTGGCCAGGGCAGTGGCTGGAGCGTGGCCCAGCAGGCTGGCCACAGACCACAGGGCCGGGTCTTGCGGACCGATCAGGCTGTTCAGATCCTGACCACACGGTCCCCCCTGCCGCGGAGGGGTGTCCCCGGGCCCCGGAGCCTGGGGTGGAACTGGAAACCCTCTCTCCGCAGCGGACCCGGCTCCTGAGACTTGTCTCTGGGCGTGGGAAAGGCAGGGGCAGCGGAAGCGTCAGCCTGAGGTGGCCAGAATGGCCCTGTGTCCCGGAGAAGGACTGGGTTGAGGACCGTTTTTCTCTGGCCTGTGGTGGCTTTCCAGATGACTTTTTCACAGCATGTGCAGTGTTGTGACTGAAAAACGGGCACATTTTCCTCGTGTGCGCGGTGAGGTGGAAACCACGGCGCGGGACCAGGCGCCGGCTCTCCTCTGCTCTGTGATCGGTGTGGACAGACCCCCCAGTCTGGACCCACGTGTCCTCCCCGCCTGCGGGAGGTTTGCCAGAAGCCGCCGCCGGTGTCCCGGGCGGTTCGGCACGCCCAGGTGCCACTCCACAGGACGGTGGTGTTGGATCCGATCAGGGAACCGGGCCGTGCTGACGGTGCGCATTTCTCAGCACACAGGAGGGGCCGGCCCTGGCCTGGGTCAGAGTCTCCGAATCAAAGCCCTGTCCTGGGAGACACAGGTGGGAAAGCCTGGTCACATGAAGGAGACTAGCGCCACCTGCTGGCCAGGCTCACTGGGCCCTTTCTAAAGCAGCTGCGCCTGCCCTTGTGTGCATGCGTGTCTGCGTGCACGTATGTGTGCACGTGTGGGGGGGGTGAGAGAAAGAGGGGGGGGGAATGTAAAGTCTTCGAACTGGGACAGGCTGGCCCCTAAGCCACTGACTGCGGTGGAGTCACGCCGTGCTGAGCTGTCTCCGCCAGCAGAGGGAGGAGAGGATGCGGCAGGAGGGAGCTGCTGGGATGCGCTGCATGAACCACCCTGCCCTCAGCTGCCCCCGCCGCCTGGAGCACTCCCCTCGGCCTGGCTGGGCTGCCCCTGAGGCCACCTCCTCTGCTGCTTCTCCTCTGCTCCGTCCCCTCCTGCAGCTGGCTCCTCAGGGCGCCGATCCTCACGTGCCCGCAGCACCTGGCCTGCCGCAGGGCGGGCCTTCCCTCGCCCCAGCTGGCCAGGCGAGAGGGCTGCTATCGATCCTGATGGGGAGGCCGGGCTGAGTGGGAAAGGAGACCCGCTCCCGCTCCATGCGAGTGCACAATCAGCCCACGTCACCTGGCACAAGGGTGGAACGTACAGGCAGGTGGGGCCATGATGGCAGACGAGGGCAGTAGATGCTCCACCGGAGAAGTTAAACAGTCCACACGGCGCGACTTGCCGGGCGGTCGGCCAAGGCCTCGGGGCTCCACCTCCACTCCGGTCCCTGAGGCAGCTGTCTCTCCGGTACCATGGGCCTGAGCAGGTGGCAGAAGAAACCCCTGTCCCCATCCTGTCACAGGAAGCTTTAACCTGCCCCATCCTGTCACAAGAAGCTTTACCTGTCCCCATCCTGTCACAGGAAGCCTTACCTGTCCCCATCCTGTCACAGGAAGCTTTAACCTGTCCCCATCCTGTCACAGGAAGCTTTAACCTGTCCCCATCCTGTCACAGGAAGCCTTACCTGTCCCCATCCTGTCACAGGAAGCTTTAACCTGTCCCATCCTGTTACAAGAAGCTTTACCTGTCCTCATCCTGTCACAGGAAGCTTTAACCTGTCCCCATCCTGTCACAGGAAGCTTTAACCTGTCCCCATCCTGTCACAGGAAGCTTTACCTGTCCCCATCCTGTCACAGGAAGTTTTAACCTGTCCCCATCCTGTCACAGGAAGCTTTAACCTGTCCCCATCCTGTCACAGGAAGCTTTACCTGTCCCCATCCTGTCACAGGAAGCTTTAACCTGTCCCCATCCTGTCACAGGAAGCTTTAACCTGCCCCCATCCTGTCACAGGAAGTTTTACCTGTCCCCATCCTGTCACAGGAAACTTTACCTGTCCCCATCCTGTCACAGGAAGCTTTACCTGTCCCCATCCTGTCACAGGAAGCTTTAACCTGTCCCCATCCTGTCACAAGAAATGAGAACCTGTCCCCATCCTGTCACAGGAAGCTTTAATCTGCCCCATCCTGTCACAGGAAGCTTTACCTGCCCCCATCCTGTCACAGGAAGCTTTACCTGTCCCCATCCTGTCACAGGAAGCTTTAACCTGTCCCCATCCTGTCACAGGAAACTTTATCTGTCCCCATCCTGTCACAAGAAGTGAGAACCTGTCCCCATCCTGTCATAGGAAGCTTTACCTGCCCCCGTCCTGTCCCAGGAAGCTTTACCTGCCCCCATCCTGTCACAGGAAGCTTTACCTGTCCCCATCCTGTCACAGGAAGCTTTAACCTGTCCCATCCTGTCACAAGAAGCTTTACCTGTCCCCATCCTGTCACAGGAAGTTTGAACCTGTCCCCATCCTGTCACAGAGAAGTTTTAACCTGCCCCCATCCTGTCACAGGAAGCTTTAACCTGCCCCCATCCTGTCACAGGAAGCTTTAACCTGTCCCCGTCCTGTCACAGGAAGTTTTAACCTGCCCCCATCCTGTCACAGGAAGCTTTAACCTGTCCCCATCCTGTCACAGGAAGCTTTAACCTGCCCCCATCCTGTCACAAGAAGTGAGAACCTGTCCCCATCCTGTCACAGGAAGCTTTACCTGTCCCCATCCTATCACAGGAACTCAGAACCTGTCTCTGTCCTGTCACAGGAAGCTTTAACCTGCCCCATCCTGTCACAGGAAGTGAGAACCTGTCCCCATCCTGTCACAGGAAGCTTTAACCTGCCCCCTCCTGTCACAGGAAGCTTTAACCTGTCCCCGTCCTGTCACAGGAAGTTTTAACCTGCCCCATCATGTCACAGGAAGCTTTAACCTGCCCCATCCTGTCACAGGAAGTGAGAACCTGTCCCCATCCTGTCATAGGAAGCTTTACCTGCCCCCGTCCTGTCACAGGAAGTGAGAACCTGTCCCCATCCTGTCGCAGGAAGCCTGGTGTCAAGGCCTCGAGGGGAAACAGGGCATAGACCTCCCGCCCAAGCCTGAGCCTGGCTTCCTCACCCTCACTTTGAGGAGGCGCTGGCTCTCCCAGCCTCAGTTTCCCCATTTGGACCATGGCACCGGCTGACAGTGAGGAGGGCAGGTGTGGCACTTGGCAGATGGCCGCGGCCAGGGCTGCTGGGGGGCAGAACATCCTCCCCGGGTCCTCTCTCAACCCCCCGGGAGCGCTGGTGCTCAGAGGGGCTCTGCCCGGGAGACGGGGCACCTCTCCCCTCCGCAGGTGAGTGAGGGCCTCCTCCCGCCCGCCCCCGCGCCCCGCTGCCCGCGCTGCCCGCTCCCGGGCCGGCCCTAACCGTCTGTCACTTGTCTTGCAGCCGCTGCGAGCGCTTGCCTTGCCATGAGAATCAGGAGTGCCACGCGCTGCCTCTGCGAATAACCTACTACCACCTCTCTTTCCCCACCAACATCCGAGTGCCCGCCGTGGTCTTCCGCATGGGCCCCTCCAGCTCCGTGCCCGGGGACAGCATGCAGCTGGCCATCACCGGCGGCAATGACGAGGGCTTCTTCACCACGCGCAAGGTGAACCCGCACAGCGGCGTGGTGGCCCTCACCAAGCCCGTCCCCGAGCCCCGGGACTTGCTCCTGACCGTCAAGATGGACCTGTACCGCCACGGCACCGTCAGCTCCTTTGTGGCCAAGCTTTTCATCTTTGTGTCCGCAGAGCTCTGAGCACGCGCTTTTGGGGGGCCCCCTTCTATCGCTTCCCCCCCTCACCCCCCTCGCCGGTTCAATAAAGTTCCGCAGGTCACCCCGCCGCATGCCTCCGAGCCTGGCTTTATTCCGTGTGGAGCGTGTCTGGGGTGCAATCATCAGGGTGAGCGGGTCCCTGCCCTGGCCTGGGGGTCCCGGGGCGACTGGGGCACCGCGTGGGGGGGCTGTCCATGGCGATCATTCCCCCGGGAGCCCAGCGAGGGCGGAGGAGGCGCCGATGCCCTTGCAAACGAATGCTCTTGCCCCTCTGAGCCCGGGCTGATGGAGAAGGCCCCTCAGAGCCGGAGTGCTGAGCTCCGTCCCCTCTCGTCTTACGAATGTGGAAACTGAGGCCCAGGCAAGGGGAGGGTCCTGGCCAAGGCGACATGGCCTATTCGTGGCCAGGCCAGGCTCAGGCTCTGCTTGGTGTCCCGGCTGGGCCGCCTGGAGCTGAGCAGGAACAGAAGTCGGGAAAGAGCGTGTCTGGTGGGGGCGGCCTGGCGGGCGTCCTGTTTGTCCGGAGCAGCAGCCCGGCCGGAGGGGGAAAAGCCTGGACTCGGCTGCACATCTGGACGCAGCTCTTGCCTCACCTCCCGCAGAGCACATGGCCTGCGTCCGGGGGATGGGGGGGCGGGCAGTGAGTGCGCTGCCCATGAGGACACCGGTTGCATCAGGTCCCGGCTGCCTTGTCTCCAGCCCTGCCAGGCGGCCTCATCCTCAGGAGGCACAGAGAGGGCGAGTGACTTGTCCAAGATCACACAGCCGGTGCTTGAGTCGGTTTGCTGACTCCGTAGCTCTGTGCCATTCTGTCACAATCCGCCACCGTGGGCTTTGATCCCCATGCCCCCCTCTCCCTTCCCCGTGATTCCCGCCGAACCGCTGGCACCACGCCCCATGGGTGCCTCAGGCCCTTTGCACATGCTCTGCTGCCTCAGGCCCTTTGCACATGCTCTGCACCTCGGTCTCAGTGTTGGTTAAACTTCAGCTTAAGCGTCCTTTTCTCGGAGAGGCCTTCCCTGACCCCTCGGCTCCTGCTTCCTTCAGGCTTCCTCGTGGTACTTCCTTCACCACGATGATCGAGGTCTGCAGTTGCCATTTCCCCGTTTCCCGTCTCTTCCCCGCTGTCCAGGAAGCTCACGACGGCGGGGCCACGTGGGTCTCTCTCAGCCCCTGTCCCTCGCTCCCAGCGAGACGCCCAGCACAGAGCGGGGCTTCGGTCCACGGGTGACCGTGGCGGTGAATGAGGCTGCGCCCGAGGCCATGTCTGGTTCAGGGCGGTCATCCACCTGCTGGTTTCCTCCCTCACTGGGAAGGGTGTGTGTTTGGATCTTGATACAGACAGGGCGTGAAGGTGCAGGGGGTTGGCCATATGCAAGGTCATTGGTGGGCAGCACTGCCATCCCTTCTGGCCTTCACTGCACTAAGCCGAGCTCCTGTGGGGAAAGGATCCCAACATACCATCATAGAAATCTCTAAGGAACTAACGCAAAACGAATACTAAGAAATGACAACTCAAGAAACTTGACGTAACATTTTTTTAAAAGTTGAAATTCCATATTACATGCCTGGATATACCTATTCAGAGCAACCAGCATCAGGACATACATAGTCCAGGTCTCTGAGGCTGCCCCCGAGTGGCAGCCACGAGCCTGCTGCCCAGAGAGCAGGCAGCCCGGCATGCAGGCCGTGGCTACTGAACCCGAGAGAGAGAGAGAGGGGTGCGTCATGCGGGCGGCCTACGTGACGCCTGTGTGAGAAGTTACCACGAGGGCTTGTGCTCTCGCTGTGTCTGACGAGGCGAGAGCCTGCTATGAAGGCGGCCATGACACTGCTCCAGAGCCGCCCGGAGACCTGGCTTCCTACCTCCTGCCATTTTTGCAACAGGCCAAAGAGCAGGCGTGGACTTTCCAAAAACACCAGTACCACCTGCTATTCTGACACCGACCAGGTGCTGGTGGGCCCATCGGACGGTTTACCTTGGGTTGTGAGTCCCATAGCCAGCAGCATTGCCGATACAGGGCTCATTGTCCGCCTAGGACCGTGGTCGGCAAACCGTGGCTCGCAAGCCACATGCGGCCCTTTGGCCTGTTGAGTGTGGCTCTTCCACAAAATGCCACGGCCTGGGCGTGTCTATTTCGATGAAGTGGCGTTAGAAGAAGTTTACGTTTAAAAATTTGGCTCTGAGGCCGAAACCGGTTTGGCTCAGTGGATAGAGCATAGGCCTGCGGACCGAAAGGTCCCGGGTTCTATTCCGGTCAAGGGCATGTACCTTGGTTGCGGGCACATCCTCAGTAGGGGGTGTGCAAGAGGCAGCTGATCGATGATTCTCTCTCATTGATGTTTATAACTCTCTATCCTCTCTCTTCCTCTCTGTACAAATTCAATAAAATATATTTTAAAAAACTTTGGCTCTCAGGGGAGGATAGGGAGATCTGGGGGAGATAAGAGATCAACCGAAGGACTTGTATACATGCATATAAGTACAACCAATGGACACAAAACTCTGGGGAGGGAGGGTATGTATGGGGGGGCAATGTTAAAATATGTACACAGATAATAATTTAATAAAAAAGAGAAAGAAAAAAATTTGGCTCTCAAAAGAAATTTCAATCGTTGTGCTGCTGATATTTGGCTCTGTTAACTCATGAGTTTGCCGACCACTGGCCTGGGAGATGCGCTGGCTCCAGCGGTTGAAGAATTGAGACAGGTTGGAGAAGTTTCTTCATCTGACTGGTTTTGATGTCTGCCTCACCTTCACTGTAATGGACATGCTATCAAGCTTTTTAAAAAGTATATATTTCGCTGGCACCGGTTTGGCTCAGTGGATAGAGCGTCGGCCTGAGGACTGAAGGGTCCCGGGTTCGATTCCGGTCAAGGGCATGTACCTTGGTTGCGGGCACATCCCCAGTAGGGGGTGTGCAAGAGGCAGCTGGTCGATGATTCTCTCTCATCGATGTTTCTAACTCTCTATCCCGCTCTCTTCCTCTCTGTGAAAAATCAATAAAATATATATTTTAAAAATATATATATTTCTTCATTGATTTCAGAGAGGAAGGGAGAGAGAGAGAGAAACACCAATGATGAGAGAATGATTGACCAGCTGCCGCCGTCCGCCCCCTACCGGGGATGAAGCCCACTCTCCAGCCTGTGCCCTCGGTCGGAATAGAACCTGGGACCCTTCCGTCCGCAGGCCGGCGCTCTATCCACTGAGCCACACCAGCTGGGCACGCCATCCATCTCTAGACCACAGCAATACTCGTGTCGTTAAATTTCTAACTTCCCTGAAGAAGGAGTCTCCCGGCACCGCTGATGGGCAACTGGATGGTTATCTTTCCTCACAGAGACGGGCTGCCGCAAAAATGGTTCCGCTCGCCACGGTCCCTGTGGAGTTAGTTCCTGCAGCCACCAGCTCTGCAAACAAATGGCCCTGGGGTCCCTGGAGCCACGGAGCGCCCCCTGGTGGACAGCACAGCCGGGCCGCAGAACGAAGCGGATCCTTTTTGTTGTGAACAATAAGGAAGACTTATTTCTTCACGTTTTTTTATTTCTTTGCCTTGAGCGTGGGGAAGGTGACATAGCCTAGTAAAAATAATCCAATCAGGACCACCACTAAAAATAACGTAGTTAATAGAATTACTGGACTTGAAAGAAAAGAGAAAACAAACTATGGGCATCTAGGCAAAAAGCAGCAACTAACTGCTAAGGGAAAAATTACATCATCATCAGGCTTTTTCACAGAAAGACGTTTGGCAGAAAAAAATATGAAGAATTAGAATGCTCAGGAAAACAGAAGGCTGGGACCTTATGTCCAATATAAACTGTTCTGTGTACAGAGAGTGCAAACTACTATCAATATGCAAGCCTTAAAAACAGTTACTCATAGGCCGAAACCAGTGTGGTTCAATGGATAGAGCATTGGCCTGCGGACCGAATGGTCCCAGGTTCGATTCCGGTCAAGGGCATGTA